TATCAATCAGCTATAGATTTGTAGATAATTTGAAGCTAGCTACAAAGCTACGATATGTAGCTAGCGACATATTGCTACAAAATCGCAATGTTTAAAGTTCAATTATCTTCATAAATATAATAGACTCAACACTAAAAATCGAAAAGCTGTTAAAGACATTAGAAAAAAATAAAATAGGGAAAAAAAAATCACTTTAAAATCGCTATAAAGCTAGCTAGTCGCTCGCTAGTCGCTAGCTCTTTTCCCACCGGGATGTATATAATTAAAGACGTTAGACCTTTCCAGACAAATAAAGTATGCACTAATAGATAATTTTCAAATATAAAATTTCTAAAGATAGATTTAAAAATAACTCTCTGTTCGCTCGTTATTTAAAAGCTATAGTTTGAGCTTTTTTAGCTCAAGAGTTGTGTTTTAATGTCATTATTAATTATCTTATTCCATACATTAGGTCCTCTAATAGTTATTGAGAACTTGGTGGACTCATATATAATTTTGGGTTGAACAAAGTTGTTATTTGAATATTTAGTCATGTATTTGTGTTGAATTTTATTAAATAAGAATTTTATTATATATTTAGTATTGTATTATTATTAGTTTTATACATAAAAATTAGCAGATAGTATATATTTATTTGGTACAAATTTAATATTTCTAGATTGTTGAACAATGGTTTAAAATGTGAGAGGTGGTGTCCATTTAATAATAATCTAATTGCATATTTTTGTTTGCTAAATAATAACTTACCTAATATAATAAATAAATAGCTTTTTTGTTTTTATTTTATTGGTGCTGCACCAAGCAATGTTTGCATAATTAAGATAGAAATGAATAAATGAGTAATATATATATTTCAAACATAATTGATCTAAGTATGGTTTTGCTTTATAGATTAATCCGATATTTTTAGAAATTTTATTTTCAATCATGTTTATGTGGTCTTTCCAATTTATGTTTTTATCAAGAATTACACCTAGAAATTTCATTGAAGGTTCTCTTTTTACGATGTATTCTCCAATAATAAGTTTTGGAAGTGCAATAGGGATTTTTTTTTTTATGGAGGCAATGAAAAATAGTATACTTGGTTTTAGTTAGATTAATTGAAAGTTTATTCATATTTAACCATTCGGTTAGTTTTAGAAGTTCAAAGTTGACCGTTTTAAATAATGTTGTTTTAGAAGTTCAATGTTTTAAATAATGTTGTTTTAGAAGTTCAATGTTTTAAATAATGTTGTTTTAGAAGTTCAATGTTTTAAATAATGTTGTTTTAGAAGTTCAATGTTTTAAATAATGTTGATATATCAGTATGAGAATAAAATTTGTGTCATCAGCAAGTAAGATAGAATCTAGAATATTAGAAACTTTGCTTAAATCATTAATATAGATTAAAAATAAAATTGGCCCTAATATAGATCCTTGAGGAACGCTGCAAGTAATTGTCATATTGTTAGTATTTTCATTGCTGAATGAAATATATTGTTTTCTATTAGGTTAGTAGCTTTTGAACCAAGCTATGTTTATGTTTTTGATTCCGTAGTTTTCTAATTTTTTTAATTAAAATACTATAATCAGTGTCGAATGCCTTACTAAGATCTATGAAAACACCTAAAGTGAACTTGCTTTTGTCAAAACCTTGAAAAATAATCTGGATGAGATGGAGAGTTTTGAAGCCAAATTGTCCCAGAGGGAAAAAAAACGTCGAAAAAACATCTTTAAAAGTTTTTTTTACGATGTCTTAAAGACGTCTTTTTTCAGTCTATTATGCAAATCTAAAAGACATCGACGTTTTTGTCATACTTATTAGTATAATATAGTATCCTATACACTATAGTACTCCTACTTTTCATATATAAAAAGCTGTTTTTATCAAATGAAAATAATAATAGCTCTTCATACAAAGTATGACAAAAGCTCTTTCCTATGCCGAGAAAAAAACCTCTTTTAGATGTCAATATAAAAGAGGAAGCATTTTCTACATCTTTTATATGTTTAAACATAGGAGAATAATTTATAAATAAAACGACAGTATTCTTCAACAGAATATTTTTTCATCTTTTTTATTTTCTGTTTCTTAAGCGATCTCTGTTTCTTGGTGTTGTTGAATAAAATTAACTATTTCACGTCGAGAAATCCTTTCATGCGAGCTAGTTCCGACCCAGCAAGGACAAGACGTATTCAATACGTATTATTTTAATATTATTCACATCTTTTCTAGAGTAGACGATAAAAATACGCATAAAAAACGAATTTTCAAGATGAGTTTTAGCTGAATATAAAACTTATCTTTAAGAGACGTATTAAATACGTATTATTTCTATATATGAAAGATATCTTTCGCAAACAAATATAATACGTGTTTAAAACGTCTTTAAAAGACTAAAGTCATCATTAAAAAATGTTTTAAATACTTTTTTTTGAAGTTTTTATTTGAGACCACAAAGGCATGCGAAAAAAATGTGTATTCTGAACGTCTTTTGAAGACGACCTTTAGTCGAATATATTTGAATAAAGATAAATACTAATTGTAAAAAATAAATGTTGTTATTCAGCTATTGCTTCTTATTTATTGACTCGATTTATAGACAGCTTTTTGTACATCTTTACGTTCTTGGTTGTTACTCTATTCTCCAGTTAACTTTTTTAATATCATTTTAAAATAAAATTACTATTGTAATTTTGATTTAGTTAACCATATTATGGTCCATAATTATGGACCATAATATGGTTAACTAATCTTAGCGATGTACCACGAATCCAACAGCGTAGACTGATGCGGGGAATCGCTTTCGTTGTTGTCGCTTTACATACCTGAAAAAGGGTCTATGCGCGCAGTGAGTGATGATAAAATGTATTGCGTTTTGTGTCGCTGCTCGTGTGATCGTGTTCCGTTATGAGGGGGTCAGCAATAGGGCTTTGTTCCGATAGGTTTGCGTCTTGAGGATGCACTGGTTAATCTTAGCGATGTACCACGAATCCAACAGCGTAGACTGATGCGGGGAATCGCTTTCGTTGTTGTCGCTCTGCATACCTGAACAAGGGTCTATATGCGTAGTGGGTAATGATAAAGTGTATTGCGTTTTTTGTCGTGTGATCGTGTTCCGTTATAAGGGGGTTAGCAATGGGGCTTTGTTCCGATAGGTTTGCGTCTTGAGGATGCACTGGTTAATCTTAGCGATGTACCACGAATCCGACAGCGTAGGCTGATGCGGGGAATCGCTTTTGTTGTTGTCACCTTGCATACCTGGACAAGTGTACGCGGTGAGGCAGGGCTTTTGTATGAGTTTACCATTGTTCCGTTTGTTGTCGGTTGCTAATATCAATTTGACAAATAAATGTTAGTTTAAGCCGCTAAAGACAAGTTCATTTAAATTTAAACTGAAACCTAGCAGTTTTTTCACTTAGATTTATTGACCTTAAAAACTCGCTTTAATATATTTTGTCTTGCATTGTGGATCTAAGACACAAATTGCACTTTTTTCAATTAGATTTATTGACCTTAAAAACTCGCTTAAATATATTTTGTCTTGCATTGTGGATCTAAGACACAAATTAGAGCTTTTATTGCATTGTATGTCTTTGATCCTGCGATACTCTTTTCCCTAACTGATTGAGTTAAAATTTATTATCTTAATAATTTAGGACACTTTTGAATGTTCTCTATTTTTTATATTTTATATATTTTTTATGTTCTCTAAACACAACATTATTAACCAATCACCTTACACTTTCATCCTCCAATCAATTAAAATATTTTTTGACCAATAGCGTTATTATTTACTGAGGCTTCACTTGAGGGATATTTTGATTAACCGCAAATTTACGTCATACAACATCTGTGTATAATATCACAATTTACATGCGCTCTATAAACTGCTCATTGGCATTAGGGCAATTCCATTTTTACCATTTAAAATTGGTATAGATGTGGAAAATTCTGTAACAAAATCTAAGAATAATGGTGTAACTATTTTTTAATTAAAATGGTTTATTGATTAGGGCGAGGTATTTTAAATGCTATTTTTATAAAAAAAAAAAGTATTACAAGTTTAACTAATTATGTTTATAGCGCGCTGTACGGAACAGTAAAACCAATAAACTTCTATACAAATGATGTAAACAAACCACCATAATGGTGGTAGTTTTTTTTTTTAATAAAAAAAAAAGTTTAATTTTGTTACACATTGCCAACAATTTTCGTTGCTGTCAATATTCACATATATATATATATATATATATATATATATATATATATATATATATATATATATATATATATATATATATATATATATATATATATATATATATATATGTATATATATATATATATATATATATATATATATATATATATATATATATATATATATATATATATATATAATATATATATATATATATATATATATTATATATATATATTTATATATATATATATATATATATATATATATATACATATACATATATATATATATATATATATATATATATATATATATATATATATATATGTATATATATATATATATATATATATATATATATATATATATATATATATATATATATATATATATATATATATATATATATATATATATATATGTAGTTTTTATAGCTTTTATGTTTAGTAAATATCTTTATTTAAACATGCGTTTATGTTCATAATACATTTTTTGCTGTATTGTATTATAATCAGCAAAAAATTTATAATTTTTAAAAGCAATATTATAATAAAGTAATATATATATATATATATATATATATATATATATATATATATATATATATATATATATATATATATATATATATATATGTATATATATATATATATATATATATATATATATATATATATATATATATATATATATATATATATATATATATATATATATATATATATATATATTTTAATTATAGATGATAATTTTACTTTTAATTATATTATTAAAAATAATAATCTACAATTTCTACAATTTGTATTTAGTGCATTGATCTAATTGTAACTAAATAAGAAATAAAATATTGTATTTTAAAATATGTAGCTGAATCTTATTTCAAATAGATAATAAATAAAATGGGAAAAGTTGCTAAGTCCCTTAAAAGTAGAACTCGCTGCACAAGTTCTCGGTTTGCAGGACTACCAAATGATCTTCCTGTTAGCGACCTTCCCACATTTAAACAAGTTATACAGTTCAGCTACAAACTCAATAAACAATTCACTGAAAAAAAATTAACTGATCAACAAATTGTTTCTCAAATAAGCATTAAACTTGTTGAGCTATGGAGAAAAGTGAACTCTAAACTCCCCTTGATCCACAAGAGAAGTATACGGAAAAAACTTGAGTTACTTTTTAAAAAAGTTTTATGTGCTGAACATAAAAAATCAAAAGGGAACAAATCCAGCATTGTTTATTTGGAGAAAAATTTTGATTCATTGTTTGATTTGTCTGCTTGTAACTGTGAACTACCTGTTGCTAATTGTGATGACAGGTATAATAAAAACTTTTTCATAGAGTTTTAAATTTAAGTAATATTTTTATTAACTTACTTTAAATATTTTTCAAATTTATTCTAAAGTGTAAATAATATTTAACAAATTAGTTAAATCATTTCTGCAGACTGGTTAGATGTGACATTAAAGATTGTTTTAAAAAGCATATATTATGCAACTGTGATGAAGAAAAAAAGGTATTTAGCAACTTAATTTTTAGACTACAAAAATCAATTTTTTAAGGACATTTACTACAGCAAAAAATATTTTATTAGGAGTGTTTACTTTTTTTTTTTAATTTAGGTACCAGTAAATGAAAGGGAGTACCTAAAAGACCAAAGAGCTAAAAAAGGTGGAAAGGGGTCATTTCAGATTGGCAAAGTTGATCAAAAAGGACTAATCAAATTAAAGAATAAACAAGTAATTGGAGCATTATACAAACAAGAGTTTTGTGTGGAAAGTCTTGAAGAATCAAATTTAGTGGTAAATAGGCATATGTATATTATTTGTTAGTGATTCGTATGTATAATTAAATATTTAGAAAGAAGTGCCTTAAATTGGTACTTAAATTGGTTTAACCAATATATTTAACCAGTTTAATTCAAATCTATTTAATTTTTGTTTAGTGTGATGATCCTTGTTTTGATGATAATGATTGTGATGACGGTGAAATTAAATATGATCCAGATTTTTATGAAGAGATGTCTACTTTACATAATTACAAACACTTGCCTAACTTTGCAAAAGCAGCAATACGTTATGGAATTAGTAACAATGCCGCTGCTCATTTAGGTACAGGATTACTCATTGACTATGGCATAGTAACAGCTGCTGAAAGAACTAATATCATTACAGAAAAGAAAGTTTTTAGTGAGAAGTTTAGAATAGGAGAACAACTTGAAATTGATCATAGTAAAGAAGTTTTTCAATTAAAAGTTATCGGAGTTGATGATAAAAAAGATAAAGAAACGCTTGTTCACACAATTGCTTACAATTCAGAAGGTGAGCCAATTATAATACCTGGAATTGAAAAAGAAGCACATCTCACATTTACTGCAGAAAGTGGAACAAAAAAAAGAAAATATTTAACACATAAAATTATTACAAGTGGAACTGGAGTTTCTAAAGCAAATGCAACTAAAGAAGTTCTAACTGAGTTTGACAGCACCGAAACTCTTGAAGCTATGGTTCTTGACAATACTAGTTCAAATACTGGTACAGACAATGGTCTCGTTGTTAAGCTAGAAAAATTTATAAATAGAAAATTACATTTAGTTGGATGTCAACTCCACCAAAATGAATTGCCATTAAGACAAGTAATTATTCTACTTGATGGAAACACAAATGATCCAAAGAAATATAAAGGTCCAGTTTGTTCATCGGTTTCAGAAAATTCCATTCATGAACTCCCTTTAATAGTTTTTTCTACAATAATGTCCGAAATTCAGTCATTTGTGGATGAGCGTGTTGTTTCTGATTTAAGTAATGACCAAAGAAAATTATATGAATACACCATTGGTATATCTACAGGTAAAGTTTCAAAAAAGTATGCAATGACAAAACCTGGACCTGTGAACCATGCAAGGTGGTTGACACTTGCATTACGGATTATGTATAAATATACTAGAGAAACAAATCCATCGGCAGAGTTGGTTATGATAACGAAGTATATAGTCCAAGTATATTCTCCAATTTGGTTTGCTATAAAACGATCAGGTCATTATAAAGATTCAGCAAAGATTCTGTTTAAATTGATTGAGTTGACTAAGTTGCAAGATAAAAAGATACAAGAAGTTGTCTTTAAAAACTTAGCTGGAAATTCATTTTGCTGTTTACAGGAGAATTTTCTCTATTGCATGATAATGGATGATGAGAAAGTAAATCGCGACAAAGCCATAGATCGAATACTCATTATTAGGAAGCTAAATGAGGAAAATAAAGAATTTGTTCCTAAGCTTAAACCCAAAACAATAATGAAAATTGATTTTGATTGTAACTGCTGGATTGATCTTGTTCAAATATGCCAAATTAAAAATGATAAACGCAAAAGAATCTGGAGAGATTTTACCGCTTACATTTCTTCCAAACAACTCTCAGTCAGTTGAACGTGCAGTTAAGTCAGTAACCGAAGCATCAAAACTGGTTTATGGTCTCAAAAAAAGGCACAACTTTATTCTTACTAAAGACCAGAGTAGGAAAGAAAATCATAGAAATGTTACCAAAAGCAATTATTTTGTTCCAAGCATTTAAAAAAAAAACTGTTAAATGTAACACTTGTAATATTAATTATAATAAGAACAATTTATTTATTTGAACTTTATTTATGTAAATTTATAAAAATAAATTTATATTAGTTTTCCAAGGTTTAGGTATTAGAAAATGAACTTGTACGATTTTTTTTAAGCAAAATAAAAGGGTTAAAAAATAAAATCATTTTAAAGCCTTTTTTGTTTTTGGGGTGGTCTAGGAATTATTTAGGAAAGGTGACACAAATCTTAAATAGGCTTTTTATAAAAAAGTTCCCTAAAATAATTTTTTTTTAATATATTGGTCAGAGCAGTGGGGAGGATTCCCCACGCAACTTTACTAACTACTAACTGGAAGAAGAGGCAGTCTGAAAAAGCTGTTCTTTTATTAATTTTTTTTTTAGTAATACCTATAAAGCTATAAAGAGAAAGTTTCTTTAGACATTTATAAGTGGAGGTCCCCGGGGGCATGGAGAGTTACCAGATGGCCTAAGAAAAACCTTAATTGGCAACCCAATTATTCTGAATTTTTATATATCAGTGAAGGACCTTATTTTTTAACGTAACTTTTCTTTGGCACCCCTTGGACATCTGCTGACCGGGACAAACTGTCATGTCAATGATATTGATCATTATTATTTTTGTTCAACTTCTGTTTTGCTTTTATCATATTATTGTATTGCATGGGTAGTTGGCCGTAAAATATTTACATTATTGTTCTTTGCTATCAGTGATAGCTAACAACATTGTTAAAAGCCTTAAACATAAGATTTGAACCAGTTTTTGTTAAATGCTTTATTCAACGAAAGTTTATGTATTCGCACAAAAATAACCAATTTTATCAATTTTTAAATGTTAAAGCCCGAATCAGTTTTATGTTTTTTTTATTTATTTATTTTTTTAATGTGCTTAGTTTTATACATAAAATCTTCCACGCCCATACCAATTTTTGTTTTCGAAAAATTTTGCTCAGTGGAATTGCCCTAATTGGCATTGCGCAAAATATCCTTCAAGACTTATTCTTATTTAATATCAAATTATGGTAAGTCCTTTATCTTAATTGTTTTTTATTTTGTTGTGTGTTTGTTTGCCTTCAATTTGTACTTGAGTATTTAGGAATAGTTTAACTTATTAGTTTTTTGTATTCTAATGTTACTTCTTGCGCAACGTGTTTTAATAATTTTCTAAAAAGTATATCAGCGTAATTTGTTTAAAATGGATCAAGTTAGGGTATTTGGCTGAGCAGTAGTATGTCCTCTCAAATGTTGCAACATAAGAAGGCTTTTGACGCAGACGTAGAGGTGGGTTTTATTTGCTTGTTTTGAGGATGTTACCCCGACGGGAGTTTCTAGAAATGAGCATTAAAACATTCGAAACGTCAAATACCAGAGTATTATCTTTATAAGGATCAATACAATGTCCACTTCCTGACGAGAATCTGGTATTATACTACATAATTTTGAATTTTATTTAAACGCTGATGTATTTTTATTTTCTTTCTTTAAACAATCATGCGCGCGTTTCCACTTTATATTAAATGTTTGTTTTTGTTGTTTGTTGTAATACTTGTGCTTTAAAGTTGTACTTTTTATCTAAAGAATTGAGTAATTATGTTATATTAGGTTAATTGTGTATCATATTATGCTTACCACAACGATAGCAATTGTTAATAATTGTTTTGATTTTTGTTAAATGTTTTTGAATATTTATCTGATAAATTCAGATAGGTTTACTTAGATGCTCTTTTGTTTTTATCTGTGGCTGAAGGTATTCGGGTTGCATGTAAATAAACAGAATTATTGTGTTTGTCAATCTTTGAGTATATAAACTAAATTTAAAACGAATATTTTTATTATAAGGTTGCATGCTTTTAAGGTATTTTTGCACGTTTGCATGCGTCTAAGGCATTTACGTCTAAATATGTTCCACTAGTGACTATACTCACTTATTCTAGTTGCGAACCTGATATGTAAAGAGAACATGATAAGACTGGACTGAGCGAGACTAAGAACCATTATTTACGAACACACAGATTCAAAGCAATAAAAACACTAAATGACACATAAAACTTTAACGTTTAGAACAATACAAACACAAAACACAATAACTTACAGAACACTGCAACAACACGTACTTAAATCTAACATGACCACCACTTACTTAACTCAACCTTAATTACTGAATAGTACCCTTCTTTTAAACAACAACTCTTAATTCTGGACATCTGTCCAAATATTATAATTTATCTTGCACTTCCTTGCACTTATATAAAATATTTCTTGCTTCTCTTAAGACTATTACGGCCTGATGGTTCCATATAAGTGGTGGAACTTTAATAGCTTCCACTGCGAAACAATAACGATTTTAATTTAGAAACTCAGTGTATTGAGGTAAAATCCAAAGAAAAATATAGCGTTTTCACTTTTTGTTTTCCAAAAAATCACTACTTACTTTTTATGCGTTCTGATTGATTTGTTTTAAAACAATTTGTTGCAGCTTTTTTTTAAATTACATTTTTTTATACAATAACAGTCAAAATAAGCGGTAAACAAGAATGAATTTAACAACATTCAGATCTCACCTTCAGATCTTACCTTTAATATTTTTTCGATTTTAGATTATTTTCCGTAAACCTGATGGCGAATATGAACATTAAAGGGAGTAAACGTAAAGGCAGAGAAAACAAAATATCGTTTGAAAACCTTAAGTTAAAGGACGTTATGTTTGGTGAGATACAATTTATATTGTACATAGTCATTTTTTTCAAAAATGATAAATGCGACACTTAAGTGTCGTATTCAACTATATATATATTAAGCTGACGATATTTTTAATTTTAAATATTTTTGCTTAACTTATTTTAGAAGCGTTACAAGACAGGTATACCGTTAGTGAAAAAGAATTATTTAGAGTTGTCGGGAATAAACTAAAGAATGCACCAGGAAGATTGAACCATTCCATTGATATCTAACATTTATATTATATTATATGTATATAGTTTATGTTATAGTATATAGTTACTTTTTTTAAATAAATAAACAATAATATTATACAATTCAAAATGTTTTAATGTTCTTTTAAGCTTGGTTTCCAATAGTTGTAGAAATGTTGTACAACAGTTCTGTAACAACTTTGTTTTATAATGGAAACGTTGTCTAGCATAGTTGCACAAATTAACGTCGGTTGTACAACACAATTTTTGTGGTAAAACAATGGCTGCGAAGATAGAAATTAATCTATTTCCGCAATAATTATACAACGGTAGATAATACAACAATCTACTCTTCATTTTGCGAACATGTATTACAGATTTGACATCTATAAATAAACAGATTTGCATTTAATACAGAAATTATAGAAACCTAATAATTTTAAATACGTCTTATATACGTCTATTATCAACGCATTTTATTTATCTAATTAATACGAATTATAGATTTGCATTTAATACTTAAATTATAGATATCTGAGACGTATTTTAAATACGTATATTATACGTCTATTACCAACGCATTGTAATCATCTAATTAATACGTATTATAGATTTGCATTTAAGAATTAGAATATACGTATCGAAGAGTAGGACAAAGACGTATTTTATATGTATAATATACGTATTTTTCCTTGCTGGGGACTTCTAAAAAACAAGTGAACATAAAAAACAATCTTTTGCTTGAATGTAATACAAAAAAGCAAATGAAACTTGATAAGCTGAGTGAAACACATTAGACTTACCGACTATTAATTCAAAAAGGCTGATCCTTTTAACCCCTTCATGTTTCCAGCGCGGTCCTGACTTTTTGAACCCACTAGGTTAGATTGCGACAGGAGTCAAACGGTAAACAGTCTAAAAATATATAAAAATGAGCGAGGTAAAGAAATTTACCACCATCAAAATACAATGACTGTACAATGATATATTTTATTATGTATTACTTAAACTAAGCTAAAATTTGCATCTCTCAGATTTGCTATGAAAGCCAAGTTATTGAAAACAGATATTGATATTTTTCTGTTTTCTATGACGTGACTTTTTAATTAAGTGTTGACCCATAACAATTTAAAAATCCGTTATTGACTAAGGACTATCAAAAACGAAAAGGTAATTCAGCTTATACACCTTGAGAGTTGTTTTTCATTTAAACTAGATAAAAGCATTGTTCAAAGCTCTATTTTAGCCTGAAACATAATGATGCTTTACTTAACAACATAAATTTATAAAAACTGGCGATATCATTAGCATTACGGATGAAATACACATAAACAAAAATGAAGACTAGAAATCTGCAATGATGTTAAGATATAATAAAGTGTACCTTTCCAGTATCATTTTCACTTGGTCTTTTGTTTCTAAACCAAAGGTTTTGAAAACAATTCTAAAGATAAGTCTGTTGTCATTATGTGCATTTTTTTACTTGCTTTGTTAACGACAGACAACAGTTAACAAGAAAATAACAACCTTAACATAAAAGTTAAAGGGCAAATCTTTTGCATAAGCAATACCATCATTCAACTAAATAAAAACAACAAAATTATTTAGATCATTTAAAAATTGCAAATCTACTGAATGCTTCTTCTTTTCTACCGTTCGTTTCACCGGCACTTGAATAAGTAAATACAGACAGAAATTGTTTACAGATTTTATTTTTCGTCTGAAATAAATATTTTACTTTAATATGTAATAAACAACGTTCTTCAAGCATAACACATTAAAAAATTAGTCCAAAAATAAACGGTAAAACTTTTTAAAACACTTACCTGCGACTAGCTTAATTGAGACTAGATCATATCGATACCATCTTACTGGCACCACGCCATCCACTTTTTGACTCTTTCCATTAACATTTTCTATCTAAACAGCTGCAATTATATATATATTATAGTATATATATATATATATATATATATATATATATATATATATATATATATATATATATATATATATATATATATATATATATATATATATATATATATTGATATTAAAATTTATATTAAAATATTTATGTGTATCACTGATTGTATATTGTTTAACCACTTTTGACTATATATAAAAATAAAATAGACTTTTTTACTTTTTAAAGAGGTACTCGATAATAAGTCTTCATAGACTTCGACGAGTTTTCCTTTACAACAACATGTATATATCTGAAGTACCAAATAATTTCTTGTCTTTTTTTTTTTCTTTTCTTATTTTTATTCTTTTATTTTTTTAAAATACTGGTAACATTTATGACAAGAAACACTATTAGTTTACGCTATACTTAGATATACTTGTTAAACCAATTTTTATTATGCTAAGTTATACGTAGTATTATTATCTAATATTTTTACGTGAGATTATATTATGTCATGTAGTTATAACATAACGATGTGTAAATTTATTAAAGTTGTAAAAAAAATAAAAAATAAAAAAAAATAAAAATAAAATATATATATATACAGACACACACACACACACACACATATATATATATATATATATATATATATATATATATATATATATATATATATATATATATATATATATATATATATATATATATATATATATATATACTATAATATATATAAGCATATATATTGTGTATATTTAACATAATATATTAGTTTATTACATAAATTATAAAATGAATTCGTTTATCGAAAATAGTTGATTTTTAATTAAATTTCCTATGCAAAAACGTTTCACATTGAAAAAATTTATAAAAGTGTTTTGTAAACAAAAAATGGGCCAATCAGAACGTAACAAAGATATCGTAATTAAAATACTGTGGGTTAAACCCAACATTGTTAGGTTCTATTGGCAATAATTATTTTCAATTTTCTTAAAAAGATAATGAATTATAAACAACGAAAGTTGTTAATAAGCAAATAAAAATTTATTTATTATAATTATGATTTACTTATTATAACAATGATTTATAACTTATTATATTATTATTTACAACATTGTAATTTATATTATTTATAACAATGATTTATAACATATTACATAAGATTTACAACTTATTATAACAATGATTTACTTATTATATTATAACAACTTAAGTTGTTTCCCAGTGGGAAACGTTAGTGAATTTTCTCCTTCCTAAAGAAAAAAATTTCTACTGGGTGTAGTTTAATTAAACATTTAAATGAAAATTTCCTTTTTTTAAAAGGTCATCGATATAAAAGACGTCTTTTCTACGTCTTATTAAAGACGTACAACCAATTGACGTCTTTTCGACCTCTTTTTTAAAGACGTCTTTTTGAAAGACGTCTTTTTCACGTCTTTATTTAAGCTGATTATAAAAAGACAAAACAAGTCATAAAAAAGACGTCTTTTATTCGTCTAAAGATATCTTTTTTCCCTCTGAGTAGTGTTAAATTACAAGTGTTAGTGTTAAGTTACAAGCACTAGATCTACCAGACAGAAAAGCAGATACTGTTGTTAAATTTATTACACCTATTCTCGATGAATAAGATTTACGGAAGAGTATAAAGATGATTGTAGCTTCAATCTAATGTAAAAACTGGAAGAAGGAAATGGATTTTTAGTCAGTTACAAAAACGTTTTACTGAAAAGAAACTTGAAGAACCACAATTTTTTGGTAGTCAGCATTATGTTCTTGACATGAAAATCAGTTTTTAAAAAACTTGTAAATAACTACAGCTCAGAAAGAATTTTAAGAATGGTAAAGAAGTGATTACTGAAACAGCAAGATGGCGTGATGAAATGAAAGTTCTATTTCATTTGATTTGGATATTCCTCTTTTTTGAAAAATAAAAACTATTTCCTAAAGTGAAGCTTTAAAAAAAAATGCAAGATAAAATTCACGAGCAATACTAGCTTTCTTAGCATTTATTCTTTTACTAGAGAGAAGAGACTACACAACATTTGTTGGTTCATTTCTAACATCTGGACCAATGAAACGGTTTGAACCAATGACGGTTTAATGACCAAATGTACTATTCAGATGATTATCTGAAGTATTAAATTATCGGTAAATAAATATCGAAAAAGCGTAACAATATTGTTTTGATAACTAAATATCTTTAAAAACCGAAAATACAATTATGTTAAATAAAAACAATTTAAAAAAATAGCATAAAGAAATTCAAAAGACATGCAACATATATAAAATGTATTTTATAGAATGCATCTTAAGCTGCGTCAATGTTTTAATAAACCTAGTGTTGATGTAATTTTGTTAATGCTTTATCCAGAGTGGCAATCTAAACAATAATCAACTAGAAAAAATAAAAAGATCAAATCTGGTGCTATATATATGTTTTAAAACTTGTGGTAGCAAACTGTTTTTAACATTGGTTAAACCAACTGTTTCAAACCTTAGTTTTATTTTTGTTTAATACTGTTTTACTTACTGTTAGTTTTAACATAGTTTTTGAGTTATTGAACCATGAAAGTTGCGCTTTCATAAAATAGGTATCGAAAACCTTTGTTATTGTAAGGCTTTTTTTCATAGAGTTTTTTATTTCCATAGGGTATTTTTTATTTCCGTAGGGTTTTTCCATGAATTGTTACAATTCATAGAAAAACCCTACGGATTAGTTGCAGCTAATAATAATAAACTTTGAATCACTATCTGTTATAATTATTTCAAGCCTCTGTGCCTCAAGTGTCTTTTCTAAATTTCGTGCGGTTGCGATTTAGTTGACAGATTCAATTTTCTAAGATTTAGCGGTAGGACACTTGTTTTCTAAGCAAGAGGTACAGAATACAAACTCGCCAGAGGTACAAAAATGAAACTCAGCACGTCCATAAATTTATTGCGTTCAACGTTTTTTAAGGTTTGAGTTTTGCAATATTTATATGTATATATATATATATATATATATATATATATATATATATATATATATATATATATATCTGTGTGTGTGTGTGTGTGTGTGTTTGTGTGTGTGTATATATATATATATATATATATATATATATATATATATATATATATATATATATATACATATTACCTTGTCTTATATAAATAATAAGTTTTCACTTGTTATTTCATAAATGATCAATCTTAAAGCTATACCGTGTCAAGGGATAGTTGTTCTTTACAATACAATTATAAAAAAAATAAAGAAATTATAACCCGCAATATGTTGAACATAGGACAACATCTTAAGATCGAAATTTTTGTTTTTCAGTTTTCGAAACTTATAAAATTTTTAAAAAATTAGGTACTTCTTTAACCACAGGTACTTAAATGATATGTAGCATAACGAAAAACCCTGTGGTCAATATCAAACTGGTATAAAAATTAACATTTTAGAAGTTTTATTTTTCATAACAAGAAAAAAAGTCAACTCAAAAACGTAAAAAAACTAAAAAATGTTCGAGAAAAAAAGTAAACGAATAGACTTCGATAAAAGCCGTACTCTTTTGATATACAAAAATATATATTATAAATATATAAACTTAAAAATATAAAACGTTGATAATAAAATGCATTTTTTAAACTCTAGTTGTGTTATCATCTTCTCTCTCTGTTTCTACTTCTTCGTTACACTCTTTAATAAATTTCTGATATTCAAACTTCGCTTTCCATAGCACTGTAATTAAACGCTCAATTTTCCATAAAGTTTTTTCTCTTGATCTAACGCCAATATTTTTGGATGTTGTAATTGCTTGAATGTTGTCCATTAATAAATGTCTTCGAAACACTCTCTGGATCCTTCTAGCAGCAGTGTTTTCTGTTTTAAGACGGTGCTTTATTGTTTCAACAATAACTTCTTTTGCCCACAATGGAAAGACTTTTTTATATCGCTCTTCTACTTTTTTCATTACAATTTTCACGCCATCGCTTTCTTCGCAACTTGCTTCCCCTAACGCGCGTCTAATTAAAGATATCATTACATCTAAACAATGACATCTTTGGCGATCTCGAATAGGAATATCACTTTGTTCTAAAAACCAATAATTTGGTTTTGGTATTCTCAAAGGGCCCTCAAGTGCATGAAGAAAATCGGGCAGCTTACTGTATTTAATAAACTGAGTTGCTTTCGGATCAAAATCTTCCCATGTGGTATAATAAGCCAAAATATCTTCCTCTGTTAAACCAGCCTCCTCTTGAGATTGAGCCTGATTAAAATTTTCTAAAATGACTGCAATATACATGTTAAGGAGGATAAGAACAATAAAAAATACGTAAGATACAAAGAAGATAATTGCCACTATTGTATTTCCACAGTCTCCACTAGTGACACTAGTGTCTGTTTTTAGACTAGCATTACATCGAGGAGGTTGAATCATTGCAGCATCAAGTACATCATTCCAACCAGCTGTTGTCATGGTTCGAAAAAGCAAACAAAAACTACTTGCAAATGTTTCAAAGTTAGTTACCTGAGTGATTGGTCCTTGGTGTTTAAGTCTACCAAAAAGATTCATGGCAATTACAGAGTATATAAATGTGATGAGGAAAATTAATGTTCCAACATTACTTAAAGAAGGACCTGACTTAATAACTGTAAACATCATTTTTCGAACCCCTTTTGCACCTTCAAAGAATCTTAAAAGGCGTGAAATCCGAAACACTCGAACAACCCTAAAAAGTCCAGGTGAAACCCCTATATCTAAGTTGTAAACGTCCAACACAATACCTAAAAATTAAAAACAATTATAAGAAAAAATACAAAAAAACACAGATAACAATAAAGTAAAAAATCTAAAAAATTTAAATGTTTTAGAATATTAGGGAAAAATTTATACTTTTATTGATTGACTTATAAAGAAATTTTTAGAACTATTGTGATTAAAATTTTAAACATAATGCTTGCAAAAAAGAACAAGAGATACACACTAGGAAAGATAATATCACCCAACACAACACTGCCACTACAAAAAATGTTTAAATTCAACCATTTTTAGAATGGTTGATCACTAGTGAGTTCACTAGTTGTTTTTTTTTTTTTTGTGTGTGTGTGCGTATATATATATATATATATATAAGTAAAAAAAACACTTATCTAACTTATCTAACTTGATCTTGTACTGTCAGTTTCTCCTTCAGCAGGATCATCAGGAAGGTATAAAATGAAATTGACAGTAGAAGCTTAAGTATTTTTTTTACTTATTTATTACTGCTCTATTCTTTCCAAACATCGAGCACTCTTTTTGCAAAATACACTAACATATTTGACCAGGGTGTTAATCAGCCCAATGACACCGTGTATACCACAAAATTCCCATTGGGTTTAAAATTCCCAAAATTTAATGATCTTGTTTTTTTATATATTTTTTTAAAATTATTAGGACTATTCAATAAAAATTTCTAATACCATAATAACAATAAATATTTGTATTATTTCAAAAACAAGGTAAAAAATATATTCCTGGCTAACACCCTGTCTACACACACACACGCACACACACACACAGATATATATATATATATATATATATAATATATATATATATATATATATATATATATATATATATATATATATATATATATACATACACACACATATATATATATATATATATATATATATATATATATATATATATATATATATATATATATATATATATATATATATATATTTATATATTGTTTTTAATGATATAATAAAGTATGAATAAATTTATATTATTTTTATAAACATAAAAAACCAAACAAGAAGCCATACCAATAATTGAAACAAGCACAACAAGTAAATCAAAAATGTTCATACGACTTCTAAAGTAGTTAAATCTCATGCACACAAGTAGTGCCACACACTCAAATGCAAATACAGCTGTAAATAAATAATTCAAATAGGTTAAAGCTGAAGCCACTTGATTACTTTGGTCATGATGTTCAATCATCATTGTAATCATGTTTAAAAAAATAACACCCATAATGAAAAATTCAAAGTATCTTTTGCGAACAAAGTCAAACAACGCTGCACACCATTTTTCCTAAAAATGGAAATAACAATATTAGTGTAATTTATATTTTATATTCACTAAAAATTGTTTATAATATGATTTCAACTATTTAACTAATTTAATTAATTACATAAGAGGCATAATGATAAATAAAACAAAACAATAAGTCATTTACAATATAAAAATTTGTTATATAAAAATCATATGAAAAATTATTGAAATGATTATAATCGCACATAAAGTGCGTTTATAATCATTTCAAATATAAAATATCATATGAAAAATTATTGAAATGATTATAATCGCACATAAAGTGCGTTTATAATCATTTCAAATATAAAAATCAAACTTGTTTATTTAAATTGGTAGCAATGATTAATAGTAATACCTTGTGATTAAATTTCACAAATGAGACCTGTGTGACTCTGAAAAATATTGAAAGCAGAGATCTAATAAAAAGTAGCTTATTATAAAAGCGAATATATCAGGAGTTCAGGAAATTTCTATTTTGTAAAAAACTTGTTTGCTTACATAATAGAAATTGCCTGAAACTCTTATAGTATCTAATTTTAGATTCATCTTTAAATTCTGATTTTGAGCTTTGTGATTGGTTTTGAGATGGTTTTTTTGGTAAGCCTATTACCAAAATGAACCAATAAATGTGCATACTCAAAATGTTGCCCTTATTATTACGTTAAAAGATGTTTTGCTAAATGTTATGCAAAAAGTGGGAATAATATTTAATTTAAATTGGTGTTGATTTCAAACATACAATTGCAGTAAATCAACGGTCTTATAAAAGATATAATTGGTGATAAAATGAGAAAGAAATTCAAAAAAGTTTAAAACAAAATATGTCAACTATAACTAAAATAAAAAATGCAATTATCTTCTTAATAATTTTCCTTATACATGTTTTATACATTTTAATAATGCATAAACTATTTATAAAAAAATTGTAGGGAAAATGTTTAATATTGACAGACTAGCAGATCTTGGGAACATCGAGTGTGAGAATTTGTGATCCTCTTTTACCTTTATCCTTTGGTCTAGATCAATACACTGGTGTTACGGTAATGGTAGAAGGCTTTTGTTTTAAATTGACAAATACATTGATTAAATATGTTTATGCTTGCTTTGTCCTCTAAACTTATGAAGTTTTGTTTTTGGTCATTTTAATGCTGTTTTATTCTAATTATGGCAAATTGAGGCAAAGAAAGAATGATTTAATAAAAGTTTAATTTTTAACTAATTACCACTATAAACTTGTAAGCTAATCTCTGGCAGCATAAGTTTTCTAACAGCTACATAAACACTAATGTTTTACATTAGAAAATTGTTTCTAACTGTATTTGAAGAAAAATATTTTTGTTAGTTCAAAAAATAAAATAAAAATGCGTTGATAAGTTCACAATTATTAAATTTTAGATTCACTCTTACTTAAAAAAATGCTTTTGCACTCTGCAGTTTTTTTTTAACTTACCTGATTCTGCATTATCACCAGTTTTTATCTTGTTATTTTTTTGTTACTTGTCATGGAACCATTATTCGTGTATATTATTCACGTATATTACTATATCTCTAATGTTTATTGCTTTTAAACTAAATTCAGCTGAATATTATAATATAGATTTTTAGCAGAACATTTAAAAAGGCTTTTATGTGATTGACCATTATAAGCAATTTTAAGTAATTTTTTATAGGAAATTATTAAACTAATATATAAGTTAATAAAATATTTATGAACAGTTGGATTGAGAAGAAAGTTAAACAGAAATTTATTAAAAAATGTGTGACCATGACTTTTTTAACAATATTTACTGACATGTATTATAAATATGATAAAACTGAACTAATAAAAAAAGTAACATAAAGTGAACTTGTTATTAACATGTCTTATTAATTACATTACATTATTTACACTATTTAATCAAGACATTATTATATGCATGCATACATAAAATTTAAACAAAAATTTATTATATTTTAATAGTTTATAAAATGATGACAATTTAAAAAACTTAATTAAACCTTAAATAAACCTAATTAATGTAAAGAGGAAAAAATAAAACTTGTAAAAAAAAAAAAAATTATTAATAAGTTTATACAATAAAACTTTAACTAATTGTGATTATATAACTTTTAATAACAATAAAACTATATTGCATAACACTTTAATATTGAAAGTAATTTATTATTTTATTTCATTACTGAAATTATAAATTTTATACTACATTAATTTAGTGCTGGAAGTATTTATAAATTTAAATTTTCTTTTACTAAGTTTCGAATTCAGGTATTGAATTTTGCAAACCAAAATAAGGTAAAAAAGATAAAGAAGGAAATTCATTGGTTTAGATTAACTTATCAAGCAAAGATGATAAAATTAAAACTTAGATTAAAAAAATAACAAATAACACCTTTAACACCACTTTTTTAAATAACACTTTTAACACCACTTTTTAAAATAATACCTTTAACACCACTTTTTTATCAATAAAAGTCAATTATCTCTAATTTGAAAGCAAATTAGTCTACTAATGGAATTTATTTTAAAAAAAAATAATTTAATTGAATAATTTAAAATGTAATTTTTATATAAGAATTATTTTAAGTAAATATTTAGCAAAATAATAATAATAATAATAAAAAAAAAAAGTAAAAAAAAAAATCAATCAACTATTAAACTAATTAAAATATTTAAACTATAAAATGAAATTATAAATATGTAAAAAATATATAAATACTTGTGGTCTGCTCAATCTGTATGTTGGCTTTCTTAATGAAGCAGATTTTAATGTATTGATCCAGTTCCTTTGACCAGGGGTTAAAAATACACCAATACCATCTTCATATTGCTGCTTCAGTCTATTAAAATTGTCAATAATGACCCCAATAAATAAATTTAAAAAGAAAAATCTTCCTAATATAACAAATGCAACAAAAAAGAGTTGATTTGCATAGCTGTATCGGTATTGTGGTTGTTCATCCACACCCTAAAATATATTTCAAAAAAAAACAACTATAAAAATCTTAAAAACATTATTGCAATATCAAGTTTTTCAAAACAACAGATCTGAAAATATATAAAAGTAAATAAGGAGAACAGTACAGTTGCATCTTGTGCATCCGCCATAACATCAAACCAACCTTCTAGTGTTGCCTTAAAAAGAAAAACAATTAAATTGCATTTCATTATACAGCTAATTTGTTGTTTTTTTTATATGGTTTAAAAACATAAATTATTATTATTAATAATTATGTTAATAGATATTAATTAAATTTACTATTATTATTAATAATAATTAAAAGAAATTTTTTTCATAACAAAATTTAACATAAAGTAATTATCATTGCAAACATAATCAGATTTAATTACAATTAAAAATTTAAATCTTCGAAATAACTAAGATGTAACAATAATTATTATTGTAACAAAAATTATAAGTATAATAAAATACTAAATACATATATAATAATATAGCTAATGCTTATTAATCTTAAATATTTTATATTAAAGTATTTTATTATTTTTATAAGTTGTTAGTTTATTTAGTTTTAACTATTATTTATTGTTAACTAAAAAAATTTTAACTATATTAATGTTAACTATACTGATTATAAAGAAATTTTATAATTGAAAATAAAAATAATTGTAACATCATTTTTTGTTATAAGTTATTTTAAGTTGCTATAAATACAAAAAATTTAGTTTTTATAATAAACTTAAACTAAAGTCACTTGCTAACTTATAGACTTTATAAATTATTGGGAGTGTAACAAAAATCATCCGGTTTTCTAAAAGATGACATTACTAGTTTTATTTCTCATTGTAATCATATGTGATTATATTCATTTGGAAGCTACTGTCATTGCTCATCTTTTTTAGGATATGTCATTTGGTTAAAGCATAAACAACAATTTTTTTTATTCATTTGAAAATGTTGAACTTAGTGCCAGATAAAGTGTTTTTGTGAAGTGTTCTTCTTCATTACTTCATTACTTGGCTTGATTCGTTCTTGGCGGCCAAACTGGAGAAGTTCTTTTGGGATGGAGCCCACAACCTGCCAGAACCATGGGCAAATGTCATAGCTTCCAATGGACAATACTTTGAACATTGAATGTATACCATTTTTTCACAATAAAACCTCAATTTTTGAAAAAAAACTGCATGAATTAAGTTACACTACCAATAAATAAATATTTGTTTATTTAGTAGCAAACATATTTATTTCATATAAATAAAATAATCAAATATATTTAAATAAATTTAGTATATACTGTTGAATACCCATAAAAAAACAACAACCGAGCAATATTTCAAAAAACTGCACGAATTAAGTTACACTACCAATAAATAAATATTTGTTTATTTAGTAGCAAACATATTTATTTCATATAAAATAAAATAAGCAAATATATTTAAATAAATATCTAAATATTGTTAAAATTTGCAACAACAGTACAAGTTAAAGATCATCCATCAAAATTTGATAAAGAAAATAATAGTAGTAGCACATGTAACCTTCTTCAAATAGACCATATTAGACCATTTAGTATATACTGTTGAATACCCATAAAAAAAAAAGACCGAGCAATATTCCAAAAAACTGCACGAATTAAGTTAAAATAAATATTTGTTTATTTAGTAGCAAATATATTTATTTCATATAAAATAAAATAAGCAAATATATTTAAATAAATATCTAAATATTGTTAAAATTTGTAAATATTTATAAATATTAAACAAATACTTATAACTAAATAAAATAAAATTAGTAAAGTTGTAACAAAAAAATTTAAAAGGTTATTGCTTATTTATATTATTATGTATGTATTCATTTATAGGTAAAATTTATTATTATTTCACACGTTTTGTTATGCAGCAGCATTGTTACTAATTTGCTTTGTTTTAGTTTTAATTTTCTATGCAACCATAACAATGTGTTGATTTCCAGTTATATAGCAGAAATGTATACATTAGACTAACTAGACAATTATATCAAAGTACTTATTTACATTTTTTAATTTATCAATTTATTTATTGACAACATTCCTCACTACTTACTGTTTGAAATAAAGCTAAAAAACCATTTATGGAACTGTCAAAATTAATTGTTTTTTGAACCCAATTAAAGCTTGAATTGTTTAAGCATTGAGCTTTAGTCTTGATGCCAAAACTTTTTGATAGCCTTACAACTTGATTTGTAGCATTTGCACAGTAAGAAAATTTACCGCCAAACAAATTAAACCCAATGATACTAAATATCAGCCAAAATATAAGACATATAAACAAAACATTTGCAATTGATGGAATTGAAGCTAACAATGCATTAACAACAATCTAAATAAAAAAATATAAAGGTTTTTTATACAAATTCTTGACACATGAAAAATATTCCCATCTAAAAAGAAAAATAGAATATGTTAAAAAAAAAAGATTATGGTACCTTCATTCCTTTAAATCGCGCAATAGCTCTCAAAGGACGCAGTCCCCTGAGTGATCGAAGTGCTTTAAGCTTTTTATTTCCACCAAGTAGAGAAGTTAAAGAAATCTATAATAAAGTTAAATTTTCATTAAACTTAATTTGAAATAAAATCTGACAAAACATAAAGACTCCTTTTAACATATACTACACACTATTTTACCATGAATTATATTATCTTTTGACAATATTTTTAAACGCATGTACATACATTCATTCATACATACATACATACATACATACATACATACATACATACATACATACATACATACATACATACATACATACATACATATATACATACATACATACATACATGCATACATGCATACATATATTAGGGTTATGATATACATAATTTATGGTTACAATTTTCTTTTAAATTTAACATGTTTGTCTGTTATCTGTTTTGGTCTTCAGTAGTTGGATGTCTGGAATTGTTTTCGGCGTGTTTGCTTTTCAATGAGAAAATGTCATAAATGAAGAGACCAAAAGATTCTGATAAAAAAAACTCTGCTAACTGAAGAAAAAAACTTCACAGTCACACAAAAGAAATTGAAGAAAATAAAAGGAAAGAGTGTTACACAAAAGAAATTGTTACCAACAATCAATGATCCACCTGATGGCTTGTCTAGAATGATAATTATTTTAAGGTATGAATATCTTACAAAAAATAAATAATCACAAAATTTTATAATTAAAGTGATAGCTTAAGAATTAAACAAACTGTAGGAAAAGTTAAACTTTCCACTCATAACAGAAAAATCATTAGAGAGAATTGCATTTATTAAAAAATATGAACAAATGGACTGAAGTTAAATTTGCAAATGTGTTTGATATTACAAAAACAAATGGCAAAATTTCTGGAAAA